CGCCCCGCGCCGGCGCCCACAGCCCGCGCGCCCCGAGGACTCGCTGCCGCTGCGCGACAAGCCCGAGCCCTAGCCCTGGCCGCCTCCACCCCGCCCCGCGCCGGCGCCCACACTCCCGCGAGACCCGCCCTGCTCGCTACACCAACCCTAAACAAAACTTTCTTCAGTTTTTTGTTGCAATATGTTGAATAACCACCTGCGCGGAAAAACATTTACTAAAATAGTATTGATCGTGGAAATGACGGCGGTGTGACAGGCGCACAGGGGCACAGGGGCACAGGGGCACAGGGGGACTGTGGCACAGGCGCACAGGCGCACAGGGGCACAGGCGCACAGGGGGACTGTGGCACAGGCGCACAGGGGCACAGGCGCACAGGGGGACTGTGGCACAGGCGCACAGGGGCACAGGGGCACAGCCGCACCTAGCGGTTCTACTTGTACAAATTAATTTGCGCAGTGGCGAGGTAGAGATTGCCGCGTGCCGTGCGGTGTCGTGCGGTGTCGTGCGGTGTCGCGCGGAAATGCGAACTTCGCCAAATGAGCACGATTTACATGTTCCAAGTTAGACAAAAACATACATAATTATATTTTGTGCAACTTACAACAAGAATTATAAACATTGCATTTCTACTACATTTTTGCATTTCTTTATGTTTAGTTATTAAGGGAAGAAAAGCCCCTCTGAAGTGACGCAAGACGCCGCGACACAATGTTAATCTTGTATGTAAAATTCTCGTGTCACAATGTTAGTTACCATGCACCTCGGTAACGGCTTCACCGATATTCAGTAACTCTGACAATCTTCTTTAATACCGTGTTCTTTAAGAGCTGTGACTACTGGTGACATTTCCAATTGTATATTGTAGTAAAAGTGTTTCTCATACAGCGAATTTTGTAAATTCTTAGAGAAATAAAGATCCTAAACCAAAATCCCGGGCGTTGGGAGTGTCGCCCGACAGCTTGATAATCTATAAGAAACTTTTTATCTATAAAGAGTATTCTATTTTATTTACTAAATAAAAACATGATATTTTAACATGGAGCTAGAAAATACGTAGTTTAAGACAATATTACATTAAATCTTTTGGAGCGAATGGCGCGCTTTCGTTACCAAGTGTCAGATCGATTAGTGAGGGGCGTAAGCTATTTTATTAGAGCTAGTGTTGCGCCGATACACCGGCACAGCGGCAGAGTCTTCCTAACAGATAAAAGGCTATATTACTCCCGCAGTCATCCGTCATTAAAACTGCAGTTAAAATCGATCCAGGCGGTTCGAAGATTACCCGAAACGAATGCGAACTTTCGGACACCCAGACAAAAATGTTATTTTTTTTTGTAATGAGTAACTAAAGATATTTAAGATAACGGACATTACGAACTAAATCTTTTCTCAAACTGAAACGGATAGATGCCTCGCAGTGACTTAGCTGAAGACTCTGCGTTTCAAGCGCAGACATTTGCCACTGAATGGCGTGTTACAGGACATTTTCTAATATGGTAATAAGCGACCTCTGTTGTATGTACATACGAGTGCAAGCTACGTACATAGGAGTGCTTGTTGATGTCTACATTGTTATATACCACGAGCTTTTGAGTGTGACCTAACAGATGCACTACTGGTCAGAGTAAAACGCTGAAACTGATATAAAATGCTCGTGAAGTCTTTCTTTTGTATAACTACATATGATGATGTAATATATTTAAATCTCTTTGAAAGTAACGCAAATATAATGTGTGCACTATACTGTATGACAGTTTGTTTTCAATGTAATACACACTCCAACTTTATTTATCTCTGTCTGTCCTCTGGTGATATGAGGTGAAATTTAAAATAACAACTGCCCTTTAACCCAAAATCACGAATATTTTTTAGTACAATGTATTATTTAACTTTTCACAGTAAGTATGTTCATACTCGTACTACAGGTATATTCTGATTTAATTATATGATTTTTTTTTAACAATGGTAGACCCCGCAACAACATATGTTGCGAGACCGGGCCCCGGCACCACCACCACCACCACCACACAGGAGACATTCCATCTTTGGTTTAACATAAGTCCTCTTTCTCTTCTTTACAACCACATTATCTGTCGCCCGCGACTCAAACAAAACGTTATTACAGCCTACTAGCGGACCCGACACACGTTGTCCTCGTCCTCTCTACACGTCTTTAATTCGAATATTATTTAAAATGTGACACTGCGATGGTAGCGCCGTCGGTCGGATCCAATGTAAAACATTACAAAATCAACAACTAATAATAAATTAATTAAAAAAACATCGGACATCCAGCGGACAAAATTGTGAATCTAAACCATTCCCAGATCCCCTTGAACACACACAAAAAATTTCATCAAAATCGGTCCAGTCGTTTGAGAGAAGTTCAGTGACATACACACTCACAGAAGAATTATATTAAAGATATGTTCTTTCAGACTATGTTCGCCAAATTCCGGTGGAAATTTGGCGATATCTAATTTTAGGGGGAGGAGCTCCTCGTGATATTCCGAGATTGTTTACGGAACCATGCCCTCTTTCGAGCCCAACTTTATAAATGGATGATCCCTAAATATGTGAATTCTGAAAAACATCAAACTCTTTCAGGATAAGTGGAACCAAAAGAGAAGGAAACAGTTATGAGTTTAATAATTACGATTTACTAGGAAATAAAACTAAAACATAATTTTTTACAAGTAGTGGATAATTTGAACTTAGGAAAATATTTGCCGCGAGCTCGTACGGATGCGCAGTCGGTCGGCTGGGAGCGCCGTGGGCGCGCGGTCGCAGTGGGCGCGGTGGGCGCGGCGGGGGCGGTGGGCGCGGTGGGCCCGGCGGTCGCGGTGGGCGCGGCGTTATAACCGCTTGAGGATGCGACGGGTGTCACGTGCGCCGGCCGCTCGCCGCTCGCGCTTCGGTCGCGGCGCCCCCTCGCCGCTCTCAGCGCTCTCTCCGCCCGCTTCCCCGCCCTCCTCCACATTCTCCTCTACGTCACGGTATTCCTGCAATCGCCAATTGTAATTCATTGAATATAGGATTATAAGCCAATGTTACAGATGTGCTGCCTATCTTTAATTGACAGAGCCGTGGATTCAAAAAGACGTTATTTTTTCTCACAAGAAAAGGGTAGGTTGGGGAAGAACCAAAATTAGGGAATTAGTCTTCCGGCACGCACACTCGTCGGGCGTGTACAATGGTATCAGTTAAACGTGGGATGGTGATATCGGGTGTCGGGTGTCGGGTGTAGGGTGCTGGGTGGCGAGTGTGTACCTGCTTGTGGGCGTGCGCCGAGTGCGCGTGGTCGGGGCGCGCGTGGATGTCGGTGTAGAGCTTGGCACGCGCGAAGTAGTCGTCGTAGCGGTCTCGTAGCAGCGCCGCCGCCTCTGCGTTGAGCGCCGAGTCCGCGTTGGGCGCGATGAGCAAGCAGCGCACGGCCAGCAGCGCGTGCCCCAGCCCGAGCTCCGGCCGCCAGTCGCGCTTCAGCGTGTTGACGCACACCTCGCCCGCCGCCGACACGTTCGGGTGAAAGATCTTGGTGAGGAAGTAGGCGCGTGGTGGCGAGGCGGGGAACTCCCGGCCCAGCGCCAGCCGCACGCGGAACACTCCGCCCGCGTAAGGGGTGTCCGCTTCGCATCAAAACAGACACTTTTACTTGAAATATATATATCCAGGCCTAGACTCTATTTGAATGTAAATTACTTCTTGAGATGCTTCAGATTATTGTCCATTTTTATACCACAAAAATTTTAAGAGCCGTTTCACAGAATGTTGAAGTTAAGGAAAATAGAATAAAATACTCCAACAAATGTGTTTGTAACCGAAAAAGACAACAGTCTTAACTTTCCTGAACCTTTTTCATATTAAGATGTTCAAATCTGAAAAATGGTTTAATTTTTTTTCTTTTACATGTTTAATCTAATTAAAAGATACATAAAAAATAGACTAGATAATTGTTTTAAATATTTTCCTTTTTTTTCTCTTTTTAATTATAATATAATAAAATTTTACATTAATCAAATCCAATAACATGGTCAAAAATAATAATTTAACAATGAAATATTTATATGTAAACTTTGTCCCATATCTATTCTAACATTTTCATATGTTATTTTATAAATACAATAGAGATACAAAATATAAATTGAGAACACCGATGGGATTATCAACACCTACATGGGTGTACACATACGCAACACTTTTGGAACTACAGATTTATATTCATCCTTTGAGATAGAGAACCTACATGATTGTCAATGACCAATCTATAACTGATAGGCCTAACTATTGTATATATAATGACACAAGTATGACTTAAAGGTGTATTTGTTAAAAATTACATTATATAAATTCCTCAAATACTATAAGTTACCTTAAAAACAGAGTGGTCACTAGAATAAAGGAGGATCTTTTATTCTAATTCACCTACTTTACCCCTTTAAACAACTTATGTTTGAGTGTGAAAGTTCACTGGTTGAAACTATTTGAAAGCATGTTGTTACAAACTCTTAATCCGTAACATGAGACTTATGCTCACTCTCTTTAAATACTAATCATTAGCTTCGCCTTCTTCATCATATTAGACAATAGTAGGCAGATAATTTAAACATATATTCCTTCTTAAAATAGGAAATTGTTAGGACAGGATAGGATCACATTTAACTCAGCATTTTCCTTGCTTCCTCAGTCATAGTTTAATAATTTATTTTAGCTTTTTTTTTAGAGGTATGAAAGGCAATGATAAATAACTGGGCATGGGCAAAGGTTACCTGGACCATCTATGAGAGCCACGACGTCAGTGAGGTCGTTGTCCCGCAGCAGCAGCTTCACACCGGCGGGCGGGTCCGCCGCCAGCCGGCGCACCTCGCGTACCACGCCGCGCAGTACCTGCGGGCACACGTTCTCCACGTTCGACATCTCTCAGCGCCCGTGCAGCGTCCCGCCGCCCTCCACCATCACACGTACCCACGCAACGCAATACCACACTCTCTACTTCTTTTGACTTCTATAACGTTCAAACACTACAAATAGGCACATGAAATAACTCCACTAAACCAGAGAAAGGTTTCCTTTTGTAACATAGGCTTGACCCTCCTTCCCTCTTCAAAACTCTCTAAATGATGCTCTTAAAAATTCAAGTTGCAAAATACACTAATAATATAAATACAAACTTCGTTTAGTTTTAGATTGTTATTTGTTTAGAATATAGAGCAATAGAAGCACTACAGTTTGTATGTAGACCCAAAGAGTATGTAACTACTTCGTACACCGACAAGCAAGACTATCTTTAAAAGTCAAACTAAGTTAAGATAGCTCATTAGCGCCCCTCTGTCAATCTATTCCATTTATTCGCAAAATTAATTGTATTCTGAAAATTGTTTTAAATTGAAATCCATTTTTGGATAAAGGATAAATTTGGAAAATATGATTGTAAAAGGAATTAAATACAATGAAAATAATGTTTTAATTCTTCTTAATGGGAAAAATAATTATATTAAACCTCCTTAAACAGAAATTTCGTGTTTATATTTATTGAGTGTAAAAGTACCTTTTTGTTATTTGCAAAAAAAAGCATATTTTTTTTTTTTACATCTTTAGTGAGAAGTTTTATGTACTATTTATGCAATGTTTATTGACATCAAGCACTTCCTTTGTACAAGCAACCAAAGCAGCACGTAAAATTATTGTGTAAAAATATTATGCAGTTTGCATGTTACTTGTAGTTGTAGCCCTAGGCATAATATGTCATACTAGCTGTCACCCGCGACTCCGTCGGAAACAAAAACAAGGAAACACGCGGAAATAAAAAAAATCATAAATGGTAGCTTATGTTTTTCCAAACTATGGTCTACGTCTATGCCAAATATCAACGAGACCCATGCAGCCGTTCTAAAGATACCTTCTAACAAACATCCATCTTTCTATCCTTCCAAACATTCTCATTTATAATATTAATAACATCTATTTACATAGTCCAAAGATAGATTAGCTGCTGCTGCATGAATGGCTCGCTCGAAGAAGACAGGTGTGAAGTGGATTAGAAGTAATACAACAATTGGATCTCTTCCTCTTCCTATGCATACCATACTCTTTTAAATGTTCTTCTCTTTCCCATATTTTCGTTTTAAGGTAGACAGTGCATTGCGAACTCATTGTATATGTATATGGGCTTTAAGTATATTCTCAATAGTTTATTCTTTGGTTAGGATTAAAAATGCAAGGTGTGAGGGATCTTTGCAATAAAACTATTATTTCCTTACATTTCCAGGTTCTTTATTCATGTTCTGACACATGTTCTTATTTTTCTTAAACTCTAAAACAAACGTCACTTCTCTTTTGACACATTTGTACAAAATAGCTTTTAATCTACAACACAAGGTGTTGTTCATCTGGGTTAACATCAGGTGACATTAGTAGTGATTTGCCAACCTTTTCTTACAAGCTTATAGATATCATGTTTGCGGAATGGAAAAAAAATGCATTGATTTTTTTTTTGTTGGCAAATATATATAGGATGGATAAGCATGAGGATATAGCTGTACAAGATTTCTACAGCGCTTTACCACACCCTTCCCCTTATGATAGATCTTATGATTGTATTAATAAATGTGAGACAATTTGAAAATTATAGATCATACATTAACATTTATTTAACTTTGAGGTGGTGAAATGGAGCGTATGAGACGTGCTTTTCTTACATCCATTGTATCATCTTTAACTGTAGGCCTTTCTACATCTTCAAACATATTTACTAAATCCCCTGCTAAATACTTCTCCTCCATGAAGGTACATACATTATTCTCAAATGCTGATTGTTCATTATTTTCAATATTTCCTTTATTGGTCTCTTTGTCTCTATTTCCCCCATTTGATTCCCCACCAGATAGATGCCGCTTTCGGCGACGAACACGTCGACGAGTGCGACGAGGCTTGTCACCATCTACTGCACTGTACATCGCTTTGCCTGAATCAAATTCTGCACTAGCAGTATCTTCACAACATGTTTCTAAGAGCGCTAGAGCTTGCTGCTTCATACATAACAATTCTGTATTACCTTCCGCTTTGAGTCTGACAAGTTGTTTCTCAACTGATTCAGCTGCATAGTTTGATGTCACAATATTATCAATTAAGTTGTGAGTATTTGCTGCCTCATTTGATTGCAAGTTAATGCTTGATGAACCTCCATTTGCAGTATTTAAAAATTCTTTGGACAATGGAATAACCCTGAAACACATAATAGTATATGTCAATATTAATTGGAATACTAACAATAAATCTATGTAATGTGCTTTAAACCACCTATCCTGTATTCCGATCCTAATGAAAAAGTAATGTAGTTAGTAAAAACAGTAATTAAAATACATGTCACTCACTCAACAGGGTCATTAGGGTGAAGAATAGACAGCGGTTCCTCTGAAGGTAAAAAGTATCCATTACTGCAAAGACAAAATAGTCCATTTAAACCAAATAGACTCCTGAGATGTTGTTGCAGCCAGCGCACCGGCCGGTGCTGAATCACGTTAACGTATGCTCGGGAACGTTCGTCTGAGAAGAAGCGCTCAAGACAAACGCGTACACGAAATCCTTCTTTAAATTCGTGATGTGACTTTGTACATGTGCTTTGTACATCGGACTCCTTTACACTGTTTAAATGAATAGTTGGCATCTTCTCGAACTCTTTGAAGTCCCTGACAGTTTAAGTAATTACTTATGTTAGTGCAAAAGTTAATGTAACAATTTTAAATGATTATAACTTACGCACAAAATAGAACTATAACATCAAAAAGTAAATAAATTATTTTGTTATGGGCACTATCGAATTATTATAAACACAATATTACAATGCACTACGAAGTTTTATTGACAGATTGAGATTGACAATCATCCAAAGAGTATAATAAGTATACTATAGAAAGAGGGGCAACTCGCACGAAGTCGTGGATCCACCAGGCACACGAAACTCTTATAATCTATGGTACAAATTGAACCCTTAACGGAGATCCTCCATCTTGAAAATTGTGTCTATCCCACTCATAAGTTTCTCTATAATTTTTGGGCTGTTTTTTTTTTTTTTTTTTAAAAAAAAACCACAGTGCATATGAATAAATTGTGATTTAAAAATTTATAATTTCTTTATATTTAAAGTTTAGATAATAAATAAACAACAATTTAATTAAGTTAATTGAAGTATGTACTTTAAAATTTACAATTTATTTGTATTCATCATGAAAACGATGTCCTCCGCCGTCCGCCATTAAACTTTCATTCTCTCATATAACAAACGAAATATTTTTTTTTTTTTTTTATGATATTATTATATTTAAAATCTAACCTTATTTGGTAAGAACATTGTAGTTTCAGTGTGAATTGTGGGATTAAGTGTATTATAATTTTGAGAGTTAGAAAGCTGATGTTTTCTTCTGAGAAGATTTCCAATGTGGTATTTAAATTGTGGTTTTTTTTTTTTTTTTTTGGAGGAGTCGTAACTTCAGTTCAGTCTAAGCGACTACTCGACGGACGACGACCGGGCGGCGTCCCCTGCGGCGGCAAAGTGGCGCCAGCAAGAGAAGAGGGCGGCGGCCAAAGCTCGGGCCAAGAGCAAAGAAGAAGACCTGGAGAAGGAAACTGGAGTCGCTCGCTTCCGGCGTGAGACGCGGGCTGCCCTGTTCCCTAGACCGACCGGAGGAGCTGGACAGAAAGACGCCGCTCAGATCCAGGAACAGGTGCGGGAGGACTTGGAGTTAATAACCAAGGTGGCGACCAAGTCCTCCAGCCTGAAGGGCACCTTTGTGCGGGCCTTAAAGGACGCCGCGGCATCCATCAAGGATGCCGTGGATGTCCTAGGGGCTCGCACACAAACGGAGGAGACGCGACAGCTGCAGGCTGACAACGCCCGCCTGCGCGCCGAGATGGACACTCTCCGCAAGGAGCTGGCGGACATCAGGGAGGACCTGCGGAGACGGGGTTCCGCGGGCCACTCCAACCCGGACATGTCAATGGACGCCGCCCCCGCATCACGGCCCCCGCATCCACCGAACGAGGCGCTCTCCGTGGAGGAGATCTGTCGTGCAGTGATGGTTCAGGTCGGGGGGATGATGAACGCCCGCCTGGCCTCACTGGAAGACAGACTTCTCCCGGAGAGGAATCTGCGGCCGCCGCTCGCGGCCGACAAGAAGAAAGGCGAGAGCAGCAGCTACGCTGCCAAACTCGCCCGGCAGCCACCCCAACTGGCTGCTCAACCTGGCCCCAGCGGCACTCAACGCAGGGCCCCACCGATGCCACAACATCGCTCGTCGGGCCCTGCCCAGAGTCGACCCGTGACCCAGGGGACGTCTTCCCCTCCTGGCGGAGGAAGAAAGAGGAAGAAGAATAGAAGAAAGAAGAAGAAGGCCTCGCCACCCGGGCAGCAGCAGTTGCAGCCCGCGGTTGGCGAGTGGATAAAGGTGGGCCCCAAAAGGCGGCCTCAGGTTAAGAGCGGTGTAGACAAACTACACGCGCCTCGGTCGTCGGCAGTAACCATCACGCTGCAGCCGGGCGCGGCGGATCGGGGCGTAACTTACGCCAGCATCATCGCCTCGGCAAAGGAGAAGGTCAACCCTGCCGACTTCGGAGCCCAGGGTGTCCGCCTTCGGAAGGCCGCCAACGGAGGACGGGTCTTCGAGTTCCCGGGCGCCTCCAGTGGCGAGAAGGCGGACTCCCTGGCCCAAAGGCTGCGGGAGGTCCTGGACAGTGGTGTCGTCCGCGTCTCCCGTCCCATCAAGACGGTGGCCCTACGGGTGGCGGGGCTGGACGACGCCACCACCGCTGCCGAGGTGGCCGCCGCCATTGCTGCAGCGGGAGGGTGCCCTGCCGAGCAGCTGCGGGCCGGCGCCATGTCGACCGGCCGCGACGGACTGGGCTCAATCGTGGTCCAGTGTCCCGTCGTGGCCGCCAAGAAGATCGCGACAAACGGCCGCCTACTGGTGGGTTGGGTGTCCGCCCAGGCCAGGTTGCTGGATCCTCGGCCCACCGTGTGTTATAGGTGCCTGGCTCCAGGCCATCTATCTGGCCAGTGCCAGGCAGGGGTGGACCGCTCCGGGGTATGTTTCCGGTGCGGTCAACCAGGGCACAAGGCCCGCGGATGCACGGCGGCGCTTCACTGCGTCGTCTGTGCCGCGGCCGGTGCCCCTGCGGATCACCGCGCCGGGAGCAAGGCGTGCGTCCCCCCATCCAAAGGGAGGAGAACCAGGAGAGGAGGTGGGGACGGCCCGAGCCAGACGGCCGGGCAGTCCTCGGACCCACCCCAACAGGCGGCGGCGCCGGG